TTGTTTTGTGGCTATTTTGGGTGCAGTTTGAGGGTGTGGTTTGGTGGAGTTTTAGGACTATGGATGAAAGTTTTGGATCTATGGTAAATGGCAGCAAAGGTTTGATAGAAATCAATGGAAGTTGCAGCAAGTATGTGCTGTCTTGTAAGAGTAGAATTATCGTCGAAGAAACAGCGGTTTCTCGACGTAATTTCCACCAAAAACTTGAGAGAATTGAGGAGGGAATTGATAGCAAAATCATAGTTTATATGAAATCAAGGATGACTAATTTAATCAAGAAAATTTCGGCAGTATAACAGCAAGGAAATTGGTGCAAGTTGCGATAGCAGAATTCTCGTCGAAAAATTTCAGCAGTTTACGATGAAAATTTACAGCAACACAAAATCATTTTTAGAGATGAATTTCTTAATAGATCAATCTTAGATGGAAGCCAAGATGATCTATGAAGTGTATAAGAAATTTCATTCAAAAAGATTGTAAATAGATGGGTTAAGGCAACAATATGCGGCTGAAATTTTCTGCAGCATAGATTTTTAAGTATAGCAGATTGGACGTAAAAGATCAGTAGTTTATATTGATAATTTTTTGATGAAACCAAAGGGAAATCTACTATTATGAAGTGTCAAAGCTATCATAAAAATTTCGTATAGATTTGGATAGAAACAATATAGTATCAAAATCAAACAAACAGTGCTATGCGGCTGCTATTTTACAGTGCAGATTTTCAAGTATAGCAGATTAGACATAAAATATCAATAGTTTATATTAAGAATTTTTTGACAAAACTAAAGGGAAATCTGTTGTTAAGAAGTGTCAAAGATGTCATAAAAATTTCGTAGAGATTTGGATAGAAAAAACACAGTAGCAAGATCAAAAAGACGGTGTTATACGGTTGGAATTCTACAATGTATCTTTCGTCGTAGAGATGAAAACTTTATGACGAAAAGTTTATGTAGCAATATAGGAATAATTTTTTTGGGATTTTCAAATAAGGATAACTAAATTGCAGCAGCAGTAAGATAGAAAACCAGAACTTGTTGCAATTCACGGGGAGATCAAAGGATGATCCGTGGTGGTGGAGATGATGGCGGAATTTGGTGACGACCTTTTAAGCAATTGTGGGAATTGCTTTGGGCGGTTGTGGAGGGTTGATGGATGGCTGTGGAAGGGCAGCAAGATGCCAAGAATGCTGCTCTGATACCAGGTGTTAGAACCCTTGCAGATTCTAAACTTGGGGTTGATCTCTTTAGGGGATCGGCCTCCTTGGAACTCTATAGGGGTTCCTCCCTCCAAGTTGCTGCTCAAAGGCTGCAGAAAAGATTTATTTATTGCTTATCAAAAGAGAAGGAATACATGGCTATTTATAGGGTTTCTAAACCCTAACTCCTAATAGGACTTCTACTCAAAACTCCTATTCCTTTACAACTCCTAATTCTTCTCTAAGAAACAACCTCCTAACCCTAGCCGACCTCTTCACCTCTTTAATAGGGGTCGACTTAGGTAGGTTTTACATGGATGTCCCTCTCAATTAGGACTCTCCTAGCTAGAGTCCTAACAGCTAGCTCCCATGTTCTGTTTCTCATGACTAAGTCTCTTCATCCATAACATACTTCCACCTTTTATCTTTCATGATATCTTCATATTAAAGTGGTTTAGTATCTACAACGAGACAAATAAAATGCAATTCATTTGTTATCTCATATAAATCTCTTAGATATCTTGTTCTTTGAGGTACTAGATTTTGCTCATCTTCATACAATTCTTCAATGTTCTTCTCTTAATTTCATACACCTTCTTTGTTGAACTCTACATCCCTACTTATAACAATCTTTAAATTATTAGGATTAAATATTTTGTAAACCTTGGATTTAGTATTGATACAATATATTTTGGCAGCCTAAACACGTCACAACCGACACAGCATTCCAAGTCCTGTCCCGGGAGCTCGTACCAAGAAGATATACCACACGTCCCATCCCGGGAGCTCGGGGCAGTGTCGTCTGACGCCGCTTTGCACATCTTGGAACTGCGGCCAGTCAGAAGGGTCGTCCCATCCCTCGGGGGTTAGCGGCGACGCCGAATCGACGCACCATCAACTCTTATGCCATAGTATAAAACCCCTGACCGGCCCCCGGCCAGGGGGGAGGTAGATAACAAAAAAGGGAAAAAGCAATCCCTCTCATTACTAACTTGCTCGACGGAGGGGCCACAGCCGGGGACCACCCGACGAAGGCCATTTTTGTAAGAGGGCGACCACTCATTGACGGCGAGGGACTCGACACGGGAGTGCCAGCCGCCCGGCAGTGTGGAGTTGTTAATCGGTCTCGATCTTGACCAACACCAATAGCACTCCTTCCTGAGGGCCCGGCCACCTCATCATCCAGATCACCCCGTAGTAGGCTCCCGACATTGACTCGCGAACCTAGTCGTGCTGACTCACCGGCCACGACATATTTGTTCACTAACATTTTGGTGCTAGAAGGAGGGCCATGTCGTTGGAGCATCTGGCTAGAGCTCTCCCCAAGGGAGTACCACATGCCGACCTCCCTTCCGTCGAACCCGAAAGTCAGGTCCTCCCCGCTCCCGAAGATGGCGGGATTCCGACCTCAACGCCAAATCGCTACTGGTGCCTATTCGACGACCCGGGGTTGTCGCCCCCCAGATTCGAAACAGGAACCTCAGCTATGACTCCTGAGGCGTTCCTCGGCCTGTCCAAGCAAGTGCAGGCCATGGCGGGCATGATGCAGATGCTTGCTCCGCTCATGCCTCAGATCGTGCGACTAGCGACCCCCCTGATCGATCCAGCCCGATAGAGGCCGAGCAAGGAGCAGGTCGGGACTAGAGAAGCCTGAGAACAAGCGACGGAGCCGAGAGGTCCGCTTGGACAGAACATACCCACAACCTGCCGAGTCACCCTACCCCACCTCGAGCCTGACACCATATCATATGATTCGACGGATGACTCGCTTAGGGCCCAGCTATCCCGGGTCAATCAACGCCTGGATGAGTTCCAACGCGAGTTCTGAAAGTCATAGAACGAGTTCAACGAAGACGGCTCAAGCAGATCCCCTTTCACTCAGGAAGTACAAGATAAGCCAATACCCCTCAAATTCAGGTTGCCGGCATTAGAGACATACGACGGCGGCTCCAACCCCGCGGAGCACGTCTCTGCATTCTGGGCTCAGATGGCCCTCTATGGCACCTCCGATGCATTAATGTATTAGGCATTCCCGACCACCCTGAGGGGACCGGCGCGAGCATGGTTCAGTTGACTACATCAATCCTCAGTCTCATCTTTCGACCAGCTTGCCACGGAGTTCGAGCAGAACTTCCTCGCTAATGTATGACCTAGGCCTTCCATGGCCACCCTGCTTGCATTATCCCAACGCGAAGACTAGCCACTTTCTCAGTTCATGGCACGTTTTGCCACTGAGATCCGGGGATTCCCGGATGCTCACCCCTCTCTAATCATGCAGGCATTTCTGATGGGTTTGAAGCCTTCGAGGTTCTTCTAGTCGCTAATCGAGAAGCCGCCGGTAATCGTCTCTGAAATGCTCCAATGCGCCAACCAATACGTCACCATCGAAGCGTTGGTGGTGGGGAAGCGTACGAAAGGCAAGAGGCCAAGGGTGGAACAATCCCGAGGAACAACCTCAGCAACCCTGGTGCCACCCCGCCGAGGGCCTGATCAACAAGAGCTACTCCCAAGGCCCCCTCCTCTTCCCTTGAAAGCCTCTCGCACCGAGATCTTCCTCCAAATTAGGGAAAAAGGTCTCTTGCGATATCCACGTCCCATGAGGGCTACTCACAAGGATCGGTCTAAATATTGCAGGTTCCACCAAGACTACAGCCATGATACGGAGGATTGCCACGACCTCCAGAATCAAATAGAGAGACTAATCTGTAGAGGCCACCTCGGACGCTATCTCAGGGAACCCCGGGAAGCGACTTTGTGCCCCAAGGAACCCATCGAAAGATAAATCAATGTTATCTCTAGGGGACCTACGGCCGGCAGCAATAGCTCTGCGGTGAGAAAAGCCTATGCCCGTAGCACGGTCGAGAAGCATCCCCGGCCCGAGCTCAAACCTGAAATCACCTTCATGGCTGGAGAAGTCGAGCGCTCCCACCATAATGACGCGTTGGTGATCTCCATCTAGGTTGCCAGCGCTCGAGTAAAAAGGGTGATGGTCGACACCGGGAGCTCCACCAACGTTCTTTACTTCGACACCTTCAAAAGGCTCAGCTTGACCGAGGGAGACCTCACCCCCATGGCATCAACACTCATAGGATTCACGATGGACTCTATATCCCCGCTCGGGACTATGGCCCTCCCTATCACCATTGGGGAGGAGCCGAGAGTGAAGACAATGATAACCACCTTTATGGTGGTCTATCTACCCTCGGCTTACAACATCATCCTTGGCCAACCGACGCTGAACAAGTTAAAGGCGGTGGTTTCCACTTACCATCGGGCCATCAAGTTTCTGACCTCGGCAAAGATTGGGGAGGCCCGAAGCAACCCGGGGGAGTCAAGGCAGTGCTATCTCATGGCGGTTACTCTCCTGGGAAAATTGCACCCCGCTCAGGTCCCCAACCCCCGTGAAGGACCCACAGCACTAGTGCCGCTGGAGCCTCCCGAACAGCTCACCGAGGTACCCTTGAAAAAGAGCCAACCTGATCAGACCGTCAAGGTCGAAATCGCACTCCCCGAAGCAGACCAGCTCCACCTCATTGACTTTCTAAGGAGGAACACTGATATGTTCGTGTGGTCCCCCGAGGAGATGCCCGAGATCAGCCCAGAAGTGGCCCAGCATCGGCTCAATATCGACCCCGGGGCTAGGCCGGTGAGACAAAAGCCGAGGAAGTTTGCTCCCGACTGATTGAAGGTGATCGGTGATAAGGTCGACCGCCTTAAAAAGGCCAGATTTATTACCTAGGTCCAATATCCTCGGTGGCTATCGAATGTAGTCCTCATTAAGAAATCTAATGGAAGCTGGAGGATGTGTGTTGACTATACCGATCTTAACCGGGCATGCCCCAAGGACTGCTACCTGCTCCCCAGGGTGGATCAATTGGTCGACGCCACTGCAGGCCATGATCTCCTTACATTTATGAACGCATTATTCGGCTGCAACCAAATCCAAATGGTGACTCAGGATCAAGAGGACACAGCCTTCGTCACCCATATAGGAGCATATTGTTACAAAGTAATGCCCTTTGACCTGAAAAATGTTGGCGTGACCTACCAAAGGATGGTCAACAAACTTTTTAAACACCAGCTCGGGAGGAATATGGAAGTATACGTAGATGACATGATTGTAAAGAGCAAGGTTGCAACTACACACCTAACCGACCTGGCGGAGACATTCCAGATGCTCCAGTGATTTAACATGCATCTAAATCCTGCGAAGTGCATCTTCGGAGTCAGTTTGGGGAGGTTTCTCAGCTTTATCATTCACCAAAGTGGGATAGACGCCAACCCAGAAAAGGTGCGGGCCATAGCGGAGATGCACTCCCCCCGCTCGATCAAGGAGGTACAGTGACTTATCGGGAGGATGGTAGCACTCAATAGGTTCGTGTCGCAGTCAGGCGACAAGTGCCTCCCCTTTTTTCGAGCTCTGCGATGGGCCGACAAATTTACGTGGACTTCAGAGTGCGAGGAAGCCTTCCAAAAGCTAAAGGCGTGCCTCACCCGCTTGCCTCGACTCGCCTCGCCCGAACCGAGCGAAACCCTTAGTCTCTACTTGGCGGCCTTGCCACAAGCGGTCGGCTTGGTGTTAGTCTGGGAGGTGCCGCCTACTCAGCAACTCATATATTATGTCAACCATATCCTAATCAGGCCTGAGGCGTTGTACCCCCCGATCGAGAGGCTAGCTCTCGCCCTCATGAAGATGGCCTGAAAGTTGCGGCCCTACTTCCAAGCCTACACGATCAAAGTGATCACCGACCAGCCACTATGACAGATCCTTTCCAACTTCGACGCGGTAGGTCGCATGCTGTGATGGTCGATCGAGCTCAACGAATTCGACATTCAATACTCCCCCAAGACTACCATCAAAGCTCAGGTACTAGCTGATTTCATTTCCGAGCTAACCCCTGAAGACCTTAACGTGAGGCAGGACAGCAACCAGAACACATGGACCCTGCATGTGGATGGCTCGTCCACTACCGGAGCGGCCGGTATCGGGCTTATCCTCAACGGCCCATCAAGAGAAACCTATGAGAGGTCGCTCCTATTACAATTCTGAGCTACCAACAATGAGGCCGAGTACGAGGCATTACTCCACGGCCTACGTCTCGCTCTGGAGATCCATGTTAATGACCTTAAGGTTTTCAGTGACTCCCAATTGGTGACAAGACAAGTCAATGGGAGCTACGAAGCCCGTGACCCAACGATGGCACTATATCTCATGGAGGCGAAGCGACTCACCCATCGCTTCAACCATTTCTCAATCGCTAGAATACCTTGGGCGCAGAATGTGCGGGCCGACGCACTAGCTAAGTCGGCCTCCGCCCACGACCTAGCATCGGTCCTAGTGATTGAGTCCATAACAGCACCGATGGTGGCGACTCACGAGGTCGCTGAAACAGGTCTACTACCTAACTGGACGAAGGAAATTCTTTGCTTCAAGACGAACGGAAGGGAGCCCGATGACCCGGCGGTCGTGAGACGGTTGAGGCGAACCCAAGCCTGGAACTGCGTCGTCGGTGGGAGGCTATACCGAAGGGCCTTCTCTCAACCTCTCTTACGCTGCCTTGCACCATCAGAAGCTGAGACGGTCCTCGCCGAGCTCCATGAGGGGATCTGTGGGGAGCACATTGGGGGACGAACCTTGGCCTTCAAGATTCTTCGGCAGGGATACTACTAGCCAACCATGCGCCAGGATGCCCTATCATATGTACAGTAGTGCTCGCAATGCCAGAGGCATGCCCGACTGCCATACCAACTAGCGGTTCCCCTTACCCTGATGGATGTGGCCTGGCCCTTTGCCCAATGGGGGCTTGATCTTCTCAGACCTTTCCCTCCAACGTTAGGACAACAGCGATTTCTTATAGTCAGCGTCGACTACTTCACAAAGTGGGGTCGAAGCCGAACCCTTAGCCGCCATTACTGAGAAGCAAGTCCAAAGCTTCACATGGAAGAACATAATCACCCGATTCGGGATCCCGAAGGCTATCATCACCGATAATGGAGCTCAATTTAACAATGTTAAGTTCAAGGCCTATTGCCAATCATACAAGATCCAACTGAAGTTCAGCTCTATTGCGCACCCCTAGACCAATGGCCAAACTAAGGTAATGAACCGAGTGATTTTGAAAGGCCTTAAGAGGAGGATCTTGGGCGCACACGGAGCTTGGGTGGAGGAGCTTCCTAGCATCTTGTGGGCAATGCAGACGACTCCTAAAACCACCTCGGGGGAGTCTCCATTCAGCCTCGCGTATGGGACCGAAGCGGTCCTTCCACCCGAGATGGTGTTCCCGACCCTGTGCACCTTTAGTTTCGAACAAAGGGCTTCCAAGGAGGGCCTCCGAACAAACTTAGACCTCCTCGAAGAAAAGAGAACCAAGGTGTATCTGTGTACCTTGGCATATAAGAAGGCAACAACCTAGGTGTACAACCATAAAGCTCGCCCGTGACCGATCAAAGTCAGGGACCTCGTCCTCCGAAGGGCAAAGGTGAGCAACCCGACCCGAGCAAGGGGAAAGCTTGCGCCTAACTGGGAAGGCCCATATCGGGTCTATGACATGGTTCGAGAGGGGACCCACTGACTCAAAACCATGGAGGGAAGCCCCCTGCCAAGTACTTGGAACGTAGTAAACCTAAAGAAGTTCTACCCGTGAGAAAAGCTGGTCAGGGCGCGGAGAAGACATGTGAAGCACATGCATATGCGACCGAGAAAAAACCAAGGCAGAATTTCAAAATGAAAACACTTCTTGACAAAAAAGGCATTACATGAGGAGGTCGGGCGGGACAACCCCAAACCCGACCAGCAACAAAGGGGGGATCCATCATTGAAGGAGGGGAAGCACAACCCCTAGCTCAGGGGGGGAGTCTCAGGCCCATCATCAAAGGGGATGCTCGCCGGCATGTCAACATTCTGGTATGTCGGATTGTCAGCAAAGGGATCCAACTCAAGCTCCAGGTCCGGGTACTTTGCCCGGAAGTGAGCGCAAGCTACCCGATACCCATACTCATACGTGGCCCGTCCTAACCGCACCAGGCCACATTCGAACTCGGCAGATGCCTTATACTCGGCGATCGCCTCCTCAATCCTTTTGGGAAGCCCTAGCCACTCCTCCTTCAGGACCTCCTCAGCGCCCCAAGCAACAGACCTGGCGGTCTCGACTTCATGGGAAAGGGTCAGTAGCTCGTCATCCAATGATTGGATGTGTGATCGGCTTTCTTCCAACTCAGTCTTCAAACGAGCCACCTCCTCGCCCAGTGCCGAGGCATGCTCCTCGGCCACGACAATAGCCTCTGACCCCCCCCCCCTGGGCCCTCAGTTCCAAGTTCTCCTTCCAGAGGGTGGTATCGATCTCCAACTAGAGCTCAATCATGTGCTCGACATTGAGGACCCAGTCAACCAACGCCATGCCATAGTGTTGACTCTGCATGAAGGTCGGTGTCAGCACCCAAGCAGAAAGGGGTCAAGTAGGAAAAGGAAGCCACCACTTACCCAGACGAGCGACTTGGCCGTCCACCCTGCCAGCTCTTCGGAACGGGAGCTGTACAAATCCTTAGCTATGGATGGGTGGAGCGCCCCCCAGAGGAACTCCTGGGCAGTAGGCCCATTGCCCCAAATGCGACTATCGGCCCTAAGGGTCGACCATCGGGTGGCATAGGGGGCCCATGGTTCCCAGACTAGAAGATCAGCCATATTCAAATCCTGTTACTGCTCACCGTCGGCCCAAGAGTGGACGCAACATAGCTCCCGTATCGGCAATGGGTGCAGCAGCGCCCTCTTGGAAGGGTCGCCACCGGATGACCCGACCGACCCGTTCCCCTTCACACCCCCCAAGCCCTCACCCTGGGGGGCGGCCCCGGGTGACCCTAGGATGGCGCTCGAGCGAGTGGTGAGGCCCGCGGGTGTTTTCTGAGCCACAGCTTTCGTCCTCTTCGGAGGGTGCCCCTCCGCCGGAGACGCCAATGCCCTCTTCAGAGTGCCCTCCTACGGGGGCTCCCTACCTCCGGAGCCCTTCCCGTCCCGAGACGAGGGCACAACAGCCTTGACATTGGCCATCTTCTTCACCGAATGAAGATCCACCATCACTACAAAAGAAGACTGGTCGGCCAGATAAGTTAGGATAAGCGAACAAACCATCATAAGCGAATGGCCATACCCCCAGTGGCGGGGCTCATCTCTGCTTCAACCATTCCCCCCTCGGTCATCTCCTTAATTGCTCGAGAGGAGGACAGGATACCCCTCAGTCGACCCACGATCACAGTTTCCCCATCGGAGAGCGTCGAGGGGGCGTTATCGATGGTCCGTAAGGCCCACCCAATGTTGAAGCCCCACTTTTTGCTGCAGCTAATGAAGAAGAAACACCTCTTCCAACCCTTGTTGTGTTGAATCTCGGATTTTGATGATGAAGTCAATTGTCATTTGGTTATCTAATCCATATGTTGAGATAAGTGTGCAGGATTAACTATGATGGTAATAAGACATATAGTAAGTGTTAAGCCGGAGTCAAGACCAAGATCACGTTGGGGGTTTGAGAGTTCGTCGGAAGTCCGGACGGTCGTCGGAGGTTCTGAGGGAACAATCCGAGAAGTCCAAGAGCTTGCCAAATAAGCTTGTCGGAACTCGCTAAGAGGATCATCGCAAGTCCAGGAGTTTGTCGGGAGTCCGCCGAAGCATCACCGAGGGTTTATCGAATGTTCATCGGAAGTTCGCCGGAAGCTCGCCGGAAGAAGCGATTAACGCACCGAAACACGATCTGCAGTATTGTAATTGTCGTAGTTAGTATGTAGATTAAGTTAGGATTGGGAGGTGATCCCATTACTTAGTATGGGGCCAATTGGGCCCTTGGCAGACCCAAATTGGGCCGAATGGATCAGCCCATTCGGACCCAGAATTCTTGGCTGGTAGTGGCACCGCCTAGGAGACTCGATCTCCCAAGAGTTATGGCCGGTAGTACCACCCCTGTCAGGTGGTGGTACCACCGATAGTTATTACTACCAGCGGTGGTACCGCCCCTATCAGGCGGTGATACCGCTTGAGCTCGGTCTCCGAGCGATGTCAGGTGGTAGTACCGCCCAGACTGAGCAGTAGTACCGCTCAATGACAGATGACAAGCGGTAGTACTGCCTAGTTATGGCGGTGATACCGCCAGGACCCCAAAAATCTGGGAATGGACACTTTTGAGCTCCAATTTCAAACAG